TACTTGGTGAGGTGCTTCACCAAGTACAGTGGTTTAACTTGTTAGTTAACATGTAGGGGATTGCACTGTTCATATTAATTTCTGCAAGAATCAAGATGAAGAGATGGATACAATTCACTTGGCTATTTTCTTCTCTTTAATGGAGGCTTTGCACTACCATTCCCACCTCAGGAAAAAAAGTGGTAGAGTTGCTTTTTATTTGTATTGTTGCTACTTTGTGTTTTGCTTACATGGTTTGGCAGAAGCACATCTGATTACCAAAAGCACCAGCAGGCTTTTCCCAGTTTCTATATAATGACAGTGCTGCTTTATACAGAAGGCTTCTTTTTGTCCTATCTCCATGCCGAAGTGAAGAAAAAGCAGCAGTGGAAGAAGAGAATTTTACCCAAGGTTATCTGATATCCTTGTGGCTGCTGTGCCTAAAATGATCCCCCTTTGTTTAAACTGCTTCCCATTATCTGCACACAGCAGACTAGTAACTTGTCTACTAAGCTTATCTTGCTACTCAGTCTGAATCTTTCGTCATCCAAGTAAAAGGATTAATCATGTGGGGCACTTGTTTGCTTAATAGAAAAAGTATTTTGCTTTCTCAGTAAAAAAAAGATTTCTCATCCATGTGGTTTCAACAAACAAATGTAGGATTTTTAAAATTCAACCCAACAACAAATATCTATCAAGCTGAAGTCTTGCTAGAATAGGAAGGTCTTTTGTTTTGATGGAAATGTTTTCTGGTGTCACATAAGTTTGCAATAACAAAGAACAACCCCCCCTCGAAAAAAAACCCATACTGAAGGTGGCTAGTGGTTCCTAGTACATTTCTTAACTGCACAAAACTTTGAATGGAGCTCACACAATATGGGTGCATCTACAATGTGGAATTAATGCACTTTGATACTACTTTAGCTGCCCTATACAAGATAATAGGTTTACCTTTTTCCACCACTATTCTTGGAAGTGATAAAATATTTCTGCTATCATAGTATATTAGCTATTTCAGCTATACCTTTATTTAATTTGCTTTATTTTGTGGTTGGTGGTTGGTCACTGGAAGATAAACATGGAATTAATTTGCACATCTATTTGCTGGGGCACATGTCTCTGAGGAAATACCAGCCGGGGAAGGAAAATAAATCAATTCTAGGGAATACATATTCCCTCCACATCTAGGATGACTTTAAGTGGACAACTATCTTACTCACACATATGAATTATCCTAAAAATATAACTATAATATAAAGTTATTATTATTATTATTATTATTATTATTATTATTATTAACATTCGGCTGGGATAAAGGGATGTGGTTTGATATTCATTTTACTGGTTGAACTCTATTCTAATATTTCTCTCATTGCATTGGGAACTATAATCAACTTCAGCATCATAAGTAAATGTATTAAATTATTATTATTATTATTATTATTATTATTATTATTATTATTATTATTATTATGTTTACTTATACCCGCTTTATCTCTCCCGAAGGAGACTCAAAGCAGCCTACAAATAATGGCTTCTTCAAAAAAATCAATAGCACATCCTGGAACATGTTAGGGAATTAGAAAAAAAATGCTACTATATTGAATTGATCCCAGAACAAAAAGATGTCTAGATATCTGGTACAAAGTATCGTGCACTACATTTTGCCATAGTACTTTTTTTATGGGTTTTTAAATTGGACTTTGATTTATGTAAATATGCCTCTGTAAAAAATGCTTATGTAAAAACTAGTTGTGGAAATGGTGTTCCTTGTTCCTGTCTATACAAAAAGGGCCCACAGCTCCCTGAAAACAATCCATATAACAATAGTGGTCTTTTTGAATGGAGAGAGCAATGCTGTTTGGGAGAAGGAAATTCCTGAATATTAGTCATAAAAATCTTGCATGAGTGCAGCCCTTTAGTCTACAGAAGGCAAAATCTTGATCTTTTGTCTTATTAACAGACATCATTTCCAGTCATTGCCTTGCATCAATTATCCTTGCTTCTTGTTTTTGCCCTATTAAAATGCTAAAATAGGAAATTCTGAAAGGTACTTCACTAGTTGGATGCCAAATCCTGCTGTGTATTTAATAGCTGACTTTTAAAAAGCAACAAGTGTTGCTGGAGACAGATACTGAGATGCGAGTCTGCTGCTGTATATATACGTAACCAGTTTAAATTATCTCACAAAAGCTTTCTATTTTAACAAACCAGGCTATAAACTGACATAATCTAATAAACTTGATAGATTTGTAAGCTTGCTCAAGTGATACTTTATCAGCCTCAGAGAAAGCCAAAGCCCTCTGAAGGCACATGTTGTGGTATCATTGGCACCTGGAAAGAGACTAGATTATGGCCTTTATTGTTCTGTAACTTTGTTTTCTGACTCATGGAAACCTTAAGGGGGTCTATCATGGGGTTTTCTGAAGCTAAGACTTGGATGAAAAATACACCGACAGCTTTAACCCCTAGGTGTGAACATATTTTTCACTAAATCATGAGTTTGATGCTTATGAAAGTAGGTAAGATCGGTGCTCCAGTGTTGTTTGCCTCTCTTATTTCATTCCTCACATGACCACTGTGAATGAAACAATGATAGTTTTAAGTATACTGTACAGTATTGTTCTGTGCATTGTACACAGATATATTTACTCTAAAGTCCAAAGTTATTATTCTGGATCTATGTATATTAGGGTAGAAAATTGTGCATTCATCTAAGTCAGTGGTTCCCAACCTTTGGGCCAGCTTACCAGCTGTTAGGAATTGTGGGAGCTGAAGTCCAAAACACCTGAAGGTCCAAAGGTTGGGAACCCCTGATCTAAGAGTTTTCAAGTACACATTTCTTTCATCTCCATAGCTGTGAATGGTATCCATTCACACATTTACATGAAAGTAAAGAAGGAATGGACAGAGGAAGGAGGGGTAATAACCAATTCATGGCGATTTGAGTTACAAGTTGAATCATGTCTTTCAGCTACCTTATTCTGGGTTCTTCATCTCATTAATACTAGCACTGGACAGAATGTGGAGTCTTGGCTTTTATACAGGATGGTTTCTTGGAAGAAAATTAACCACTCAATCACACTTTGGCTGGCAACTTTGACTACAGTCGAAAAATATAGGCCTTGATGTTGTCTGATTTTAACTCGGTTCCTGAGTAATTATGTTCAGGACCAGAGCTTTCAAGGCTGATTAAGTGCTTTGCTTTCTTTGTAACATGCTTTTCCAATCTTAAACAATACTGTCTGAACACTTTGACCACAATACATTAACCTTCAATTATTTAAACAGGATTATTTTTAAAAGTATGATATTTGGGCTTATTTTAAAGGTTACCATTGAGTATAGCAAAAGCTTGATTTTGGAAAGCTCCATGTTTGACCTGCTAACAATCATGAGGATATATAAACTGTCATTATCTTGTGTATTAAACGATGCCGTAATGTCCTTATAATTGTCACTGAAGCTGCAACTGAGGGATAATTTTGGTGACATTCTTTTCCATGTGCTGCTTAATGAATGTGCATAGGGAGACCCATCTGTTCCATTGAAGGTTGGATGTATTACAGCCTTGTTATTGCCTCTCATTTCCATAATGAACAATCAAGGAACAAACAAGCTGAGGAGACAGATAAAGGCTGCTCAGAATTTCAACTGTGGAGTCAGCAGGGAACCAGTGAGTGGGTGGGCAGCTGAGACTGTGGTGGATAGGAGAGAAATATGAAATTGAAAATTTAATCAGAGTAACCAGGTTTCTTAGGTACTTCTAATATGAGAACTTCTGAGGCACAAGCATTTTTAATCTGATTACAGCCAGAATTGTCGACATCATACTGTACTCCAAACCAACAACCAAGCCGTGTGGGATAAGACTGCTATATTCACACTAAGAAGCTAAGGTTGCTTTGATCTCAGCATTCCAGACTATTACTGATTGAAGGGGTAACTTGAGTTTTCACAAGTCATTCAATTATGGTTGTAACAAAGGCTGTTTGTTTACACCTCTTCCCCCAACTGTATCCTTGAAACATCCCCACTTTCTGTTTCTTGAACTAAATTTTCTTTACTTCCAAAATAGCTTCCTTTTCTAGATGGCACTGCAGGTGCCTGTTGTCCAGAGATGGTTAGTTTGAAAAACCCTTTCACTACTCCGAGGGAGTTTGTGACTACAGGCAGTCCCCAAGTTACAAACAAGATAGATTCTTTAGGTTTGTTCTTAAATTGAATCTGTATGCAAATCAGAACAGGTACATTTTTAAAGCATAGTTCCAGCCATACAAACATATACATACATACACACATACTTTGGATAGCAAAGGGAAGGGTTAAAACCACTGTAGTGTTTGTTTTGCTGTCTGTGCCCCTGTTCAGAAGATTTCACCTCACTTTTTGTCCCTGTGATAAGTGGGTTTTGAAAAATTTGGCTTGTTATGGAAACAAGGATTGGTGGTAAAACTTCATTTGAGACACAATTTCCCCACAATAACACTTTCAGGAGTGAATTTCCCTTCCTAGGAGTAGATTTCTCTCACTTCCTGCTGTATCACTCCTGTTTGTAACTATGAATCATATGTAAATCCTTTATTTGTAATTTAGGAACTGCCTGTATTACATTAATCTTCCTCCTTTCTCCCCCTCATCTCTGCTCAGTGTGAATGTTTATACAGTCAGCTGTATAAAGAATGCAGATGAAAGGTGGCATCATGCTTTTAAGAAGGTAGTGGCTACAATATTCACGATAAAGGACACTATGAAATAAAGCAGGACTGTATCAGGTAGACAAATTGGTTCCTTAGAAAACACTGTATGCAAAATGTTCTTCAATGTTGAATGAATTGCGTGGCAACTTGTAAAGTTTTTTGACTGGCCTATTTAACCCAAGAGTTTACCAAATACTTGTGTTAGGATGTCAGAGGTAAGAGCTGCTACAATATCCTCTTTAACCTGCTTCTAGTAGCACAACTGTGGACTAATGCTAGAAAAGATTTTCTGTTGATGCTAGGTTTTAATTTCTTTTGAAGTAAGGCTTTATGAAACAATTTATTGTGTATGTTTTCAATATACAGCGTTATCAATTTTAATGCCAACTTTTTGTGACTTCATCTGATGAATGTTCAGAATATTTTTTGGAATTCATCTGAGTCTTCAAGCATTAAAGGCAGGGCAGGCTTCAGTCCAACATTACAGATATGCAACTCTGTCATAGTCCTGCATTTATGCTTGCCATTCTCTGTTGATTAAACTTTGATGATGTAGTTCAGAGTAGTCACCTGAACAGCAACAGGACAGTTCAAATCCTGTCCACTATCTCATTCTTGATTCTGTCACAAGAATTGTGTAATGATCCCATGAGTCTGAGTTCGAATGAAAACAGCCCCATCCTTCAATAGGAAGCTAAAGGAAGTTCAGTCTTGTCAGCTGTCAGAAATCGGATTCTGCAATTGCATGAGACAGTATTTTTTTTCATCCACATAGCTGGTTTGTTCAAGCAGCCACTGTCTCTCTTGTTCATCCACAATTATTCTTAGTGTCACTTCTTGAAAGATATTATTTACTCCCACCTGGACAGTTCAGAAGATAATCAAAATCAATGTCATTTTCAGGGATAAAAGAATAATCAAATAAAGATAGCTATTTCTCACATGAAATATATTTGTTACCACACCTCTTTAAAATGAATCTTTTTGAACATGCCAATACTGGCTTCATTCTCCAATCCAATTTTAGCCTCAAAGATGGTGATTCCAAGATGTAACATTCCTACAGGATGAGAAATAAGTGGGTCATCATCTCTATACATGTCACTTTCATTTGGGAATGGTTCATGGCTCTTCACCAGGCAGGACAGGCAATGTTAAGCTAAAACAACCACGAAGCTGACACAGTACAAGACAATGTCTTATGTTTTTACTGTCTGAGGCAACAGACACTCCGCTATTCCTAGTAAAAACAAAAGGGATAACCTATGAAGAAGGTACCTTTCAATAAGAAGGCTGAAGAGCCTCACCCAGGCCTCATCTACACTGCTATATAATGCAGTTAGAAAACTGAATTATATGGTCAGTGTACACTCATATAATGTAGTTGAGCTGCATTATAGAGTTCTTCTTCTGTTCTCTGTATAATAAGCATTCTGCAACCTCTTCTAAACATTGTTGAGATTTTGAAAAGATATGCTATTCTGAACCTCCCACTCTACCAGTTTTGATTGTTCAATATTCCTTTGTTTCTTTCCTCCAGAGACATACAGCATCTTCAGCAAGTCCCAACTTCATCCTGCTGCATTTGCTGTTCTTACCATAAGACATCATGATTAGAGTAGCTTCTTTGCCAAACCCTCTGCCACGGTTGCTGGGCTCTGAAAGAGAATATATACTTTCAAGTCTATTATCTTTGATCATCTAGATCAGTATTTCTCAAACTGTGCTCCTCTAGTTGTTTTGGACTTCAGCTCCCAGAAATCCCAACCATCTTAACAGTAGTTAGGAATTGTGGGAGCTGAAGACCAAAACATCTGGAGGAGCACAGTTTGAGAAACTCTGATCTAGATTATAACTATTCCACCCTCAGTACAACCTTCTTGGCTCTATCTGCTTTTTCTTTCCTCTTTACCATAAGTAAATATTTCTTTACAGTAGGACAAGATAGTCAAAAACAGATGATTTTAAAACCAGGAAGTCAATAATAGGAGTCTAAATACTATAAAGGCACCAGATCCTGTCTGGTTTTGGAAGCTAAGCAGGATCAGCGCTGGTTAATACTTGGATGGGAGACTGAAAATAAATATCAGGTGCTATAGGCTACATTTCAGAGGAAGGACCTGGAAAGCCTTGTTTAAGAGAATCCTATGAAGGATTCATGGGCTCGCCATAAGTCAATGAGCAACTTGAAGGGACATACATACACAAAGTAAAAAAAGGAATCAGCAGGATTTCAAAAGTGTTGGACTGCAACAGTCAGTACATATCACCACTCGCTATGCTGAATATAGAAAATAGGAGTTGCATGTGGAGGGTTGCATGATTCCCACCCTGAGGAATCAGAGGGTGGAAAAGTTGCTACGCTTTAATTTGGTACCTTCAGGAGTGGCAAAACACAGCCACCACAATTGTTAGACCAATGTGCCAAGAAGTAGCAAGGCTGGAATTGTAGGGTCAGCAACAATATACAAATTATGCCTGGACTTATATGATTCTTAATGTCTTCTTTACAACTTGTATAATTTGAACAATTAACTACAAAGGACACAACAATAGAAGATAAATGGGACAGTAATCATTAAGGTACCTGCAATCATGATTTCAATTTCTCCCACTTTCAGATTTTCAGGATCTGTGAGGAACAAATTTACATCTCCAACCATGCACTCCTCCTCTGTAGCTTTCTGCCTAGACCACTTATCAGTATCAAGTACTATAAATGTGCATTCTGGAGAAATGGGAGGGAAAAAACCATGTAAAACATTTTTAAATCATTGGAAGAAGAGACCAGGTTAAACAAGCATACCATTCCTACCACCCCCCTACCACTCCTCTTCTGAGTTCTCCTTCCATTACTGGAAATTTGGAGTGAGATCTCACATGTTTCTGAATATGATAAATACCCTTAGCTCCTTCCCCAAATCCAATGGAAAAAAGAGAAGGAAGGAAAAGTTTGAATCTCACCTAATAGGGTTATTACTTTGACACCATATCAGATAAACGTGTATTTATTAAACTTGCACTCACCAGTCCAGCTATGAAAGAGTGAGATGTAGAGTTAACTTCAATTCTAAAATGAAAACTCCACAAGCGTGAAGAAAGTCTACTCCCTCCTCTTTTTTTTGCTATTCAAGTGTGCTTTCCCCTGCTGGATTACTTTTGGTACTAGACACATGCTTTGGGAAAATATTTTAAAGCATGAGGATGTTGGGTGTGGGAAAAGACCTGCCCTCTTACTTAGTACTACGTAGTCCCTCTCAACCTATGTAGTGGTTTCATGACAGCACATGGCTGTTTTATGTCAGTTGAACTGCAAATAAAATATAAACATATAGGTTCATTACCCTATTCTTAACTCCCTTCAAATATTTAAAAGCCTCACTGTCGGTATCTTCCCGCCAACTGCGCTGCATCTCATATTCCTGTTCAAGGCTCAGTGGTTCAGACGCAGTTAGACGTTGTAACTCTTCAGACTTCATCCACTCATGGTATCTGATGAGAAAATCCAGAAAGAGGAAGCATATAATCCCTTTTCAAAACATCACATGTATGTGGTTCTAAAATAAGCCACACCCCTACCATGAACATTTCAGATGTCTAGGAAAACTGGTACAGCCATGCTTACATCTTAGGATTTATACTGTTAACAGCATGCCTGTTATGTGATCATGACCGCAGTACAGAATAGTACTATGCAAATAGTGTGAAATGACTTTAGCTGAACTCTGGTTGGTTCAGCCCTCATTCCACTGGTACAACATTATTTGGCAGTCACTTGGATGAGGAAAGACAACAACAACAACAAAAAAAAGCCTGAACCTAGGGACAATGTAACATCATCATCATCATCATCATCATCATCATCATCATCATCATTTATATCCCACCTTTCTCCCCATTGGGACTCAAGGTGGCCAACATCTATCCATACTAGACAGTTTTAAAAGAGCAAATCAAAAGTTGCTATTTTGTATTGCTCAGGAGGGTAAAGTTGTAATAAAGAAGACTAATCATTATTCAGAGATAAACTGTAGCCTTTCTCTGTGTGAAGGGCACACAAAGTGAGGCCCACATACTGCATATACTCTCCAAGGTTGTTTGTGAAGCTCCAGATCAGGGGATCTTTTAACTTTTTAAGCACAGGGCTGGTTCATGGTTCCTCAGGCTGTTGGGGGCCCAGACTATAGTTTGAAAAAAGCATGAAATAATTCCTATGCACACTGCACATGTTTTATTTGTAGCGCAAAAAAAGTGTAAGAACTATACAATATTTAAAATGAAATACAATTTTAAGCAACATAAACAGCATTTCAACAGGAAGTGAGGGTCTGCTTTTGGATGATGAGATAGCCAAATTAATTAGGATTGTTGTTGTTGTGTGCCTTCAAGTAGTTTCAGACGTATGGTGACCTGAAGTCTAATGTTTAGGGGGGGGGGGCTGGGTAAATAGCCTTGGAGGGCTGCATTTGGCCTGTGGGCCGTAGTCTGGGGACCCCTGTTCAATGTGAGTTTTTTTTTTCAAAAAGTCAAATTTTTGCCCACAGCTTGGGCAGTGGCAGAGGGAGGGGAGTTGCCATGTTTTTGCCCTCTTAGCCATTTTGGACCTGGCTAAGAGGGAGGGATTTTAAAAAACATGAAGTCAGTTTTGGTCACTTTTTGTTTTAAAAAGTATTGTTATTATTAGGCCTGGGTAACAACGGAAAAATTTGTTTCTAAAATCGATTCGTTTTTTGGGTTTTTGCGTTTCGTTATTTAAAATAATTACAAAATTTTCCTTTTAAAAAGTTCGATATTTACGAAATTTCGTAAATGTGAAAAAATTAGAAAACATTAACGAATCGATTTCCGAAACAATAACGAATCGATTCGTTAATGGCGGACGCGACCGCGAAATACGCTAAAAAACCTCCAGAAACTTCTGAAGCTTCCCTCTCCCTCTGTTGTTGACTGTTGGTGTGATATTTATAATTTTTTTTCACTAATTAAACAAAAAACAACCATAAAACTTGCCCCAGACATGCGGAAATAATAACGAAACGACCTCAAAACAATAACGAAACGAATACAATAACGAAATATGAAGCATTTACAAAACTATTTAAAAATTCGTTTTTTTTAAAAAATTGCTCCAGAATGGTTCGTTATCGTTTTGTAATTGAAAAAATTAACGAATTATTAACGAATTACGAATTAACGAAACGAAACCGCCCAGCCCTAGTTATTATCATTTATATAGTACCATCCTTGTATATGGTGCTTTACAATAAAAGAACAACAAAACCATTCATCTGCTTCTCACATGTAGGAAAACATTTTTATATGTCTAGAATGGCTTTTGGGAACAACTAAAAATTGAGTGGCATGTGGTGGTTGAAGTATAGCCTTCTAAGGTCACTTAGGCACCTAATGTCCGTCCTTTGCTTCTCTGCCCCCCCCCCATTTTTCTAACCCCTATTTTATATTAATGTCTACGTTGCGGTGACAAATATGTTACCGACTTGCTGATGGCCACTCAACAAGTGCTAGGAATGCAAAGCACTGTGTATTTATTCCCTGAGTACTTTCTCAAATAAAAGAGCAAAACAGGCACTTGAAAGCACTTTTACTAGTTGTTTCCTTGCTACATGTGGTCTAAACAAAAACCTAAAACAACTGTTAACTTTTCCTCAGATGATGAATGACTTAGTCCATGTGTCCAATTTTCACACCTGGATGTATTTAGATCTGCATGCTGGCACATCATTTTGGATAAAAGAGAAATGAAAAAACTTGTCATTTTCACTAGATAATTAAAATAAACTATGGTCTTGTCTTCAAAAATGGGGGTAAGAAGGTTTATCTATTTCTTACCTTGGTACATGAGCAGAGGTGTATGGCACCAGGGTCACTCTTTTTCCTTGTAATACAGTATTCTGGTTAATCCTCATAGTCCAAAACCTAAAACAGGATAGATTAATAAATGATGAAATCTGATTAATATAATTAATCAGAACTAAAACACTTTATAGGGTGTTCGTTGAATTTCCCTCCTTTACTTAATTTCTGATAGGAATAAAGTCAATTCATTTGAAATGTGTTACTGAAGAAGAATTCTATAAATACTGCAGACTGCCAAAACCTCCAAATAAATAGCTTCAAGAGCCAATCAAGCCTGAAATCTCCCTGGAAGCCAAAGTGAGTAAACTGAGTCTGTCATACTTTGGACATATGAGAAGCAATTACTCTCTAAAAAGGCAACAAAGGGCATAAAGACTTTCATCACAAAACTTTATTTGTATCCCACTCCCTCTCCCCAAGGGGACTCTGAGCAGCCTACAACAATATAGCAGTATAAACAAAATAGGTAATAAACATATAAACAAATTAAAATTAAGTAAACAATAACAACGCAAAATATATGGAAAATTGAAACAAAACATGTTAAGTATGATACAAGAGACATTGTTGTCTGACCACCACAGTTTGAAGCTAGCTTTTAACTGCATTAAACAGTCAGTAGATGAGGCCTCAGCCAAAGAAACCAGAGTCCGAATAGAGAAATAAAAACTCAAATAAGTTGAGCCAATCAAGTCTAAATTATTCTTGGAAATCAAGATGAGAAAGGTGAGACTGCCATACTTTGAATATATTGTGCAAAGTGATGACTCCCTATAAAAGACAGGAGGCAGTAAGAAAACAGGAAGACCATGCTACAGATGGATACACTCAGTCAAAGAAGCATATGTTTGCAAGACCTGAGCTGAGTAATAACAAAGTGATTTGGAAGTATCTTATTCATGGGGCCACCAAAAGCTTGACAGCAATTAACAAAAGGAAAATACTTATGAATGAGAGGCAATTGAATCTTAGGTTGCCACAGACCATCTACGTCACAATAAAAAATGTTACGTTTCAAAAGGGCTCCAAAACATCCTGTTGTTTCTGTTGCCTCTGTGGAAACAACACTGATACAAGAGACTAGAAGATAAGATAAAGTAAGATAAGAAGGATGTTGTTGTTCTGTTAAAATCCATGTTGTCCTGCCCTTCTGTAATAAGCAGATAACCTAAGAGACACATAAGTAAAGGTAAAGATTTCCCCTTGACATTAAGTCTAGTTGTGTCCGACTCTGGGGGTGGTGCTTATCTCCATTTCTAAGCTGTTGTCTGTAAACACTTCCAAACTCATGTGGCCAGCATGACTGCATGGAGCTTCCTGCCAAGGTGGTACCTATTGATTTACTTACATTTGCATGTTTTCGAACTGCTAGGTTGGCAGGAGCTGGAGCTATCAGTGGGAGCTCATCCCACTCTCTGGATTTGAACAGCTGGCATTTCAGTCAGCAACTTCAGCAGCCCAGCGGTTTAACCCTCTACACCACTGGGGGCTCATAGACACCTAATCTCCCATAATATCCTATAGCTTGTTCACAGGTCATTTTCCTCCTAGAGTGCTTGGTGGTGGTGTATATACACTGTTTAATTAAGGCAGTTTGACATCACTTCAATGTTATGGAATCTTGGGGAGTTGTAGTTTTACAAGTCCTCTCTCTCTGCTAATAAGCGCTGGTGCCTCACCAAACGAGGAATCCAAGATCTCATATCATTAAGCCATGGCAGTTCACGTAGTGTCAAACTGTGTTCATTTTAAAGTGTAGGTTCACCCTAAGACAGAAAGGACAAGGTTCAACCCAAGGGATGATGATGACGACGACGATGACGAGTGTACTACCAGTAGGACATTTATCTATAACCGGCTTCCCCTTCACGAAAGACTGAGATTTAAATTGCATTGCAATCAGAAGCATTCAAAAAATACACTGAATTATTTTCAAGAGGGTGGGGGTGGGGAGAGGGGTGTAAAATCGATAGACACAAGTGGGAAATCAAGGTGGAATAGATAACAACACTATGAAAATAATATTTGATATGTATTCGGAAATGGTGATGGACTGTGCTATTATTCTACCTGTGTCGGCAATCAAAACATATATTAAAAAAGAAATATTATAAAATATATTAATATATTAACTCGGATAATAAAAACCCAACCGATTTCAAATCCTTATCTTTAGGAGAGCTCCCTTTAGGCCTAGTATCTCTAGAGCAGTGGTTCTCAACCCGTGGGTCCTACAATTCCCAGAAATCCCAGCCAGTTTACAAGCTATTAGGACTGATGGGAGTTGAAGGCCACCAAAACATCTGGGGACCCACAGGTTGAGAACCACTGCCCTAGAGGAAGGCTGCTGTAGCAACATACCAAGCTCCCAAGAGGACCCGCCACTCACAGGCTACCGTGTTTACCTAGATCTGCACATGCGCAGTCGTGCCTTTACCCCGGTGCTACGGCATCCCGGAGCGTCAAGCCGCCCATCACGTGATCTCAGAACAGGCCCAATCGGCGTCGAGTCGCCTCAAGCCTCACCACTCCCGCCTGCGGTTTTCGGCCGGCGTAGACGTGCCCTTTCTTTCCTCTGGCGCGCATGCGCATTGGTACCCCCGGCCCGGAATGCAGGAGGCCGGCTCACGGCTCACTGTGGGGCCGGGCGCCGTTGGTCTACTCTGGAGGGTAAAAGGCGCCGCGAAGGGAGAAGTGTGGGAAGGCCCCGAAGTTTGGGGAGCGAGGGAAAGGTGGAGGGGGTCGAGGCGAAGCGGCTGCTTCGGCGGCATTTGGGGTTTCTCATGAAGGGAACTAAGGGTACTGTACATCTACACCAGGCATAGGCAAACTTGGGCCCTCCAGGTGTTTTGGACTTCAACTCCCACAATTCCTAACAGCCGGTAGGCTGTTAGGAATTGTGGGAGTTGAAGTCCAAAACACCTGGAGGGCCCAAGTTTGCCCAGGCCTGAGATTGTGGATAGATGTTTCCAGTCTGTACCACTTGAGTCATGTATGAGAGTAAGTTATCAGAAATAAGGTTTCTTTCTTTCAATGAGACCCAGGGCTCTTCCATACAGGACCAATATACCAGGATCTGATTTATTTATTCCAGATTATCTGGCAGTGCGGACTCATATAATCCTGTTTAAAGCAGAAAACCTGGGACCTTACTTCCAGAAGACTGACAGGATTACAGGCTGCTCAATTTGGGGACGGGTCTCCAACCCTTGTGCTGGCAGGACTGCTGACCTGGTAGTTCAAATCTGGGAGAGGGGTGAACTACTATCTCAGCTCTAGCTTCCCATGTGAGGACATGAGAGAAGCCTCCCACAGGATAGTAAAACATAAAACATCTGGGCATCCTTTGGACAGCATCCTTGCAGATGGCCAAATCTCTCACATTGGTAGTGACTTGAAGTTCCTCTAGTTCAGTGGTTTTCAATCTGGGGACCCCAGGTTGAGAACCACTGCCTTAGTTGCTCCTGACACACACACACACATATATTTCTTGCCATGAGAATGCCCTGAGCGTGTTTATTTAGTGCACTTTCTGAGTTGAGTGCCTCCCATGCATAGTTCTAGATAGCCTAGAACAGGAAACTTCTCCTGATCTTCAGGCTTTTGGAAACCCATTCCCTTCTCCAAGTGTAAGAGGAAATAAAGGACACCTCTTTCCCCTCATTACTGCAATTTTTTTCTCCTGCTATGCTATATGGGCCTGGAGGGACAAGAGCCTCAGACTGAAGCATGATACGGTTTATTAGTTTCAGGGTATCACATTGTTATAGAAAAATGCCTCCTCATTCCTAAGCCTCCTCCATTTACAGCATACTTACAATCAGTTATCTTGATGTAAAAGTCATTTTACTCCGTTCTCAATTTTGACACACAAATATTCTTTGTCTCCAGTCAGTTACAAGCTGGATTGAGAGCTTGACACAGGATGCTTGACCTCTAGGTTCTTCAGACCCTTCTCCTTCCCACCCCTGTCTCAGTCACACTTTCATTAAATACTGTCAGGAACCTTTGATTGTATTTTAAATGTATTTACTATTTTATCAATTTGTTCATTTCTTTGCAAAGTTATGCACAAGTGTATAGAAGCCATTGTATTGCTTTTGTTTGGCCTTGTTTTTCTTGGAAAGTACTGAGCTGCTTGAGTTTGCTGATAGAAGAAATAATTTATAGCTCTTCTAACCAAAAACCTGGATACTATTTTTTTACTTTCCTCTTTCTGAAGTAATTCTTTTCTTCTCAGTAATGTTAATTCTTCCATAAACCCCAGGAAATGTAATGTTTCTCAGTACCTATTCATTTATTTAAATAATTTTCCTTGCTCTTAGAGAAAAAAAATACTATCAGGGTGACTTACAGGATCCATCAACTGAATAGTCCCTGGCTTACACTTTGTTGAGATAAAAGGGAAGGAACTGGGAAGGGAAAGCATGATGCTAGTAGCTTATTCAGTATGTCTGTTCCAGACCCCAGCATTCTCAAGATTGCACTGTTCTCATCTTCTGTATGGGGCATGTTCTTTCTTAACTTTCATTTGTCTCATTTCTACTCTTCTACTGATTCTTTTCCTATTTTTGGTTTATCTTCATGAGTTCAAGTTTAATTTGCTTCTTTCCTTTCCACAGGGCAAGATAATTCTTTACAGGTTACAGACTAATCCTTGATAGTTTAGTTTTCTTTTAGCACTCTATTCTGAAACATGTCTAAATAATAATTCATATGATTGTAGTCTCAGCCTCCCACTTCGTGATCCTTGCGTACAAAGAGAGATGAGACAAATTGTTTGTTCCTGTTTTCCAGAATCAACATTTTATTGCTGAATTACTGGCTTGAACACTTTACATCTGTGTAAAGTCCAGTTTGTGGGGGGGGGGGGGGTCATCATTTATGATACGGGAAAAGGGGGGAATCCTCTTTCAACCCCCTGCCCCTAAAATACATATTCTTTTCTGTCTAGCTCCCCTTTTGGAGTCCTCCCGTATAATGGAACAGTACCGCCTATTTTATTGGTTTTTTTAAAGGTAGCGGTGTATATTTATGAATTAATAGAGGAAGGTTTCGTTTTACTTTGAGGGGATGGCATGCGTGAAAGGTTGATAGCCCAGAAATGAAAATTGTGTTAGCTTGCTCATAGGAATGAGGAATTTTGGGTTGAAATGCAAGCACCTGCTGGGATATGTTTATCTGTTTATTTTCAAGGGAAGGCAAACAAATTCTACACATCTAGACTTGCACCAGTGCATGATGATGATGATCTGTATCTGATGTCTTGCATTAAAGGCTGTTGTTCTAAAAACAGCTCTCATATTTCTTTCAGGTTAGTGGTGGCAGGATCCAAAGGGAGTGATTTCTCTATCTCAGCTATTCCATTTCATTGAACATGGCTGGAGGAATCACGGATACAGGGGAGCTGTACTCTCCTTATGTGAGTATTTAGTGTTTGTATTTTTTCGTGTTGCAGTTTTGTATTTGGCCAGATGTTTAAAAATTGCCCTTTTATGTAACACATGTTTTTGCTTGTTCCTGGTTGCCAGAATGAACATTTTATTGCTGGATTATTGGCTTGAACTCTTTACATCTGTGTTAAAATGTGTCAAGGGAGAAGCACATTTGTTTGCTCTGTTCACCCACACATGCTCTAAACGTCTAAAGCCTTCTGGAGTTAATGCTTCTTGTGTCACTGAAAAAACAAACTGCTCTGATATTTATGTAATTTGGCATATAGAATTAAATATAAATGTATGCCTTTATGCCACTAAATCTACGTCATTTGACATTGTTGCTTACAAGGGCAATAACATGACACACAATTATATGTTAGGATGACAATAAGGAAAAAAGTCCAAAGATCAGAAGCAAAAGTAAGCAAGTAACTTTAGTGGGTAGGGTTACTAAAGAGAAGTTAGGTTCTATCTAGTAGTTGCCTCCTGAGGCACAGAGAAGGGATTTTCATTTATTCCCCTCTCTTTAGTCCCTTGTGCTCTGCTGTAGAAGAGGCCACAGACCAAAAGGAGAATTTTGGAAGAACGAGCCTCCTGTGAATGGAAAGATAGTGTTAAATATAACCTAGAATCTTCAAAGCAATTTTTGAACTGATTTGACTATGGCTTATGGGCAGCATCAGTGAAGCAGAGAGGATCTGACCCTTTAAGCTTACTAGATCAGAGACTTTTTACGAATTGTATGTACATCCATCTGAACTCTTCAAGAGAAGAGCAGTGTTTAAATGCAATTGAAAAAGCTCAATTCTGTTTATGTAATATTAGGAGGGTGGTGTTTTTAATATTAGGAGGGTGGATCTCCCATTGTTAGCCCCAGCTTCTTGCAATCTAGCAGTTAGAAAATATGCAAATGTGTGTAGATCAATAGGTACTGCTATGGTGGGAAGGTAACGGTGCTCCATGCAGTCATGCTGGCCACATGAGCTTGGAGGTGTCTATGAACAACACTGGCTTTTCAGCTTAGAAATGGAGATGAGCATCAACCCCCAGGGTCGGACACAACTAGACTAAATGTCAGAGGAAAATCTTTACCTTTCCTATGGCAAAAAAATGTAAATCTAAATCATTCTCCTACATGGGTTTCAGGCTTTTCCGAAACCTTGACACATACATCAGTTGCTTTTTTTATTTTTCAAAGCAATTGGAAACAACAGGTATGAACAATTCGCAAGGCTTTTGGGTACATTTTTATAGCATGTTTGAATTCACATAATGTTTTATTCTGGTAAACTGTTCATCACATACTGCAAAGTTTCTTTTTTCTTTTAAATTGTGTGGCTCTTCAGAGCTCTGTCTTCTTTCCCTTGTTTGAGATGTTGCAATAATCTATATCTCTCATTCGTTGTAATTTACAATGGGGAACTCCCCTCCTGAGCGTCTAAACTTTCTGACGATCCATACGGTCTAACTTCTTTCCCTCATTTGAGACATTGAAATAATCTGTTTCTCTAACATGAAGTCTTGCAATACAATTGCTTAAACTATCATGATGTAAACTTAATAAGAACCGAGAGAAACTGGATAGTTTTGGAAGCAGTACAAAGAATAGATGAGAAGTACATGTTTACAGTATATAAAGAATTTTTCCAGCTTGCCAGTAGACTGTATCCTTTCTTCTAATATATAACTCATCACAGCTTTCTGACAAATCTGTTTTCTGTGGTTTTTTGACTGCAAGTCTGAGAAAACATTAATCGGATGGTGATATTTTCTGGTATACTCAATCCATGGAAGATCGATCTCAGTCTCTAGGAGAAAACTAGATTCTCAAGATGTTAAATTACCAAGAATCTTCTGGATTCAAAATTATAGTATTGCAATAATTTACAATAGAGAGAATGCTAACAAATTGAAACTAAAGATCTGAGTCAGGAAATAATACAGAATTCTTCATGACATGACTTCAGTGTGGCAAGCTTTTCATGTGGCTGTTCTCTCATATTGACATGATTATTTAAATTGCCAGCTTCCATCTGCTTTCCCACTAAACAAATATGGCAATGAAATTTCTTCTCAGATTCCTATTTGGCTTATTGTTGAGTTTAGATGCTCCGGAGGGGAGCTCTCCATCGTAAATTATAACGAATGAGAGATACAGATTATTGCAACGTCTCAAACAAGGAAAATAATTTGTGGTATATCCATGTTGTTGTTCATTCGTTCAGTCGTCTCTGACTCTTCGTGACCTCATGGACCAGCCCACGCCAGAGCTCCCTGTTGGCCGTCACCACCCCCAGCTCCTTCAAGGTCAGTCCAGTCACTTCAAGGATGCCATCCATCCATCTTGCCCTTGGTCGGCCCCTCTTCCTTTTACCTTCCACTTTCCCCAGCATCATTGTCTTCTCTAGGCTTTGCTGTCTCCTCATGATGTGGCCAAAGTACTTCAACTTTGTCTCTAGTGTTATACCCCATATAGTGAAGTAGTTGCATGAAAAATTTTGAGGAACTACACAAAAAACTGTAAGGCTTTTGATTTTCTAAGGATTTTTCACTTTTTGTGCCAAATGAGGAAACGGTATGGATTATGCAAATTAAGTCCTTTCATAGAGGAGGGTTAGTCACCTGATAGAGCTCACGTGATATTTAAAGCTCATATGATGTATCGAGTTTATCTCTTAATCAGCAGATTTGGTCTTTCTCTTCAAAGTTAGTTTCTAAGACAAGAATGTATCGGTTTAATCTGTATCCTGCTTCATCCTGAAGGCTTGAATGGAAAACAGTAACAGTTGAGAGACTGAAAGGCATATGGTGGATTGTGTGTGCCAGTTGCTCCTGCCTGCTGGCCCACCTCATACTAACCTCAGCCCTTTAATTTTCTATGTAGTACTTGAAATTTTGGGAGACCTTGGCCTTCCAAGTATATTATAGACTACAACTCTTTTACCATCAGTCATGTTGAGCAGAATTGCTAGACGAAAGTATATGTGGAAACATAGGTTCCCTACCCCGATGGAGTCTTTGGCATTGTCCTAATGTAATGTGAGCTAATAGATATTTCTTTACCGATCTTCTGAAACTTCACAGTGCCTCAGTTTAGATTGATGTGAAGTCGCTTTTTGCCCTTTTTGGATTGGCCTCATTCTGACATGAGATTGGGCATCATGCTCTGAAGACTGAAGGGGGTGTTTTTTAGAATTGGAAGTGATGTTGTTGGATCTGCAAGTTATTTGTAATGGATTTTAGAGAAAGTTCTTCCTGGTTGCCCTCAGTAGTGCTAAATGTTGAATCCTACCAGTCCCTTTCCCCCGTACATTGCAGGTTTTTTTTTAATACCCCCTACTTACTAGATAGTTTTTCAAAATTGATGTCTCAAGGTGGAGTCAATTGGATCCAGGAATCCAATGGGTTATGCAGTTCCCACACTGATCACTTTAAATCCCTAGGTTTTTAACACAATGTTTGTAATTGCAGGTGGGCCTGGTTTACATGTTCAATCTGATAGTTGGGACAGGAGCTTTAACAATGCCAAAAGCCTTTGCTGCAGCCGGTTGGCTTGTCAGCCTCATCCTGATAATGTTTCTAGCATTCATGAGGTAAGATTATGCTTCATATCACGTATTAAAAATCAGTTAAGAACTTCCATTAGGTAAACGTAAAACTGGTGCCCAAGTAATACAGTTCTTGCAGCAACTTTCTTAATGTGATTTCATTGAATAAGATGTTATAAGGCATTTGCAGTTATTCTAGATGATATTTTTGTCTGATTCATTTGTTGTATGAGGGATGGAAATGGGTTAAATTGCACATTTATTCCTACCCATTTGGCATATCATTTGTGAATCTGATGCCATCAGAGGATCACACATAGCTGCAATGCACAAATAATGTGTTCACATGTGTGTCTACAAGCACATCACACAGATTCCATCAAAGGTATTGCTTATAGTCAGTATCCCAGATAAGTTATTAATTGTATAATATGATTCTGTTCTTATTGGTGGTTATCTTTGTACACTATGTCTGTATGTTTATATAATATACATCCTGCTCCTCTTTACAAAGAACATAGCCCAACTCACAAACAGATTTTTTTAACTTGCCTGGTATTTAGCAGTACAAAAAACAAGGAATGAAAAGCATGCTCTTTGTGTAGGATAGTATTCCAGATAAGCATAGCATCTAATTGGGGCTAATGGCTGCCTAATGCAGAGATGGGGAAAATTGGCAGTCCAGAGTTTGTTGCAGTGCACCTTCTGTCAGACCAACTAGCATTAAAAGCAGCGATAGAGGACTAGAGTTGCAGTACAGCAGCATTCCCTGATTTGAAGGATAGATGGAGTCAGTAGTTGACATGCCAGTTTTAAATTGCATGTATAACATGTTTTCCTCCATCCTTTTAATAGTATTTCATAACTAAATTAGATTATTACCTAGTGGGTAGATAGCTCATAGTTGACTATTTCATTATCATATGAGTATGGTTCAACTTTTAGAAAGGATGTTTTGATCTGTATGTTGACAAACTTGAAAAGTAGGTAATTAAAGTGTGATTTCTCTGATAGTAATGCATATACGTATAGTTCTAATCCATAATATGCTCCCCTCAAAGTTAGAAGGAGAGACACAACCTTAGAGACTAATTTCTTTCCTGAGTTGTCTGTGCCTTGTGGACATCTTGGATTGTGGAGCAGCGGGTATACATCCCACATATACCCACATATAAAATTCACAGGGCAGATTGAGTTCAAATGCAGGTTCTTTTGAATAATTTTCAGAGATAGAGGAAGCAAGAGTTTCTCCTTGCTCCTGGGAATCTTTTTTTTTTTTTAATAGCCCAAGAATGTAGGTGCAAGATGGACAAGAAAAACACCAAGTGGAGAACTAAACTAATTTTTTCCCTAATACTTAGTGTACCCCCTAAACCTCTGGTCAGCTTTTGATGAAGTAGCAGCACCTGGAAATTAATACACTAAGTACTGTATTTTATCATGACCTTCCCTTTTGGGAGTCCCAGTTTTGGTCTTAAAAAAATCTTTGCATAATAGTCGCACTCCCTTTTCTTGTTCATTTCGTGATGCAGCAGGGATATGTAAAGGATTACAATTACATGCTTTCTATCAGCTTTGTAATGTTTTCTGCAGGTACCAGGTAGCTTGAGAATGGTTATTGTGATATTTCCATTCCTCTTTTTTGTATTTTGGCTTCCTAATATCATCCAGAGAATGATTGGTGCAGTAAAACAATGTGGGGAAAATCATTACCCAGGCTCCTGGAAGGACCTACTATGCTCTAATCCTAGCAAGACTAATTTCTTATTCAGACTTGATAAATGAGTTCGGCTTGTGAAGCAATAAGAAATCAGTTTTGAGGTTTAAATAAGATTGATTTCAATTTTTACTATATATGAGAGAAGGATCTTAAAGGGCCATCTAGCTGAGGTAGTGACAATTTAATTTTAAGATCTACAAAGCAAACTGTAATGGTGAATGGGAATTACAGGGGATGCCCTGCTTTTGACCATTGTCCTGTTTTCAAACTTTTAAGAAAGTAATTGTGCCCAAGTAATTTAACTGTTAACACAGTTGTAGCCCATTCAGTGTTGTGCTTCAGTCATATTTCCCATCCAAAGATGTAAGCCAGGATTAGGAAATTTGGTGCCCTGTCAATGTCATTGGACTGCAACTCCCATTATGGCATTCTGCCAGATCTTGATAGGAATTAGAGTTCAACTTCTGGAGGGCCACAAGTTACATCGTATAATGACAAATGATAACCCCCCCCATGATTGTGCATTATTATCATGATGTAATTTCTGTGTTAGTAGATAACTGTTACTACTACAATGATGATGGCATTTATTTATACCCTGCTTTTCTTTCTTGAGGCCAAAAACAACTAAGATAACAAGATCAATGGTATAGTGAAGTATCTGTGAAACGTGCTTTATCTTAGGATTTCTGTTCAAATTAGATTTAATTTTGTAGTTCTTTGAAGATTTGGGGGATAACATTTACTGAGATATCATGAAGCAGACATTCTCATCCAGCCAATAGAGGTAGCACAATTGTGTAGTCATGATCTTTTGATGCTGTTTTCTTTAGTTAATGTTTTCAGGAGACATTCCCAATGAATTGCATTTCTTCTGTATTAGTTTTTCTCCTGCTATTAGTATGCTGTGTGGGAGTTTTGCTCGAACTCATTCTGTTCAATCTTGCTATTAAGAGAGCAATGAGATGTGATGAAGAGCAGGCAAATGTATGGCTCACGCGTCCCATGAATGACAGTGTCTGTAAGATTTGCTAGGACCATGCAAGTGGGAAGAACTGAACCTTCTTCACTTGCCCTTCTTTCTGTATTCCATTGCTTTGGGTATTTTTTTCCATAGCCCATTTCAGTTCCAGTATTGAAGGGCCCTTCCACACCCCTATATCCCAAAATATCAAGGCAGAAAATCCTACATTATCTGAGTATATACTCAGATAACCCAGTTCAAAGCAGATATTGTTAGATTTTCTACCTTGATATTCTGGGATATAGCGTTGTGTGGAAGGGCCCCAAGTCATGAGGTTTTTATAGGCCATTTGAAGGCATTCGCACACACAAGCTTAGGGGAGCTGAACTGGGAGGCAAAAATGAATTGTGAGGAACTGCATCCTATGGGCTTGGACCTCCTTGGGTCTTTAGAGTGCCACCCCTGTATTTATCCATGAACAGGAAAAAAATGTGTAAAAACTGATGTGAGCAGCCCTTAATGTGTCTAATCTAGTTGTAATTCTTAATACATCTTATCGTTTCCTTCAAAATGTAATGACTTGAGGACTGAATGAGTTGGGATGGGATATTGAAAATCATTCTTATTGTACTTGCGTAATTGGTATCTTATTTTTTTTCTTGCTAGTTATATGACTACAACATTTGTAATTGAGGCCATGGCTTCAGCAAATGCTCATCTTCGCTGGAAGAGAATGGAAAAGCACAAGGTTTGTGTAGCGTGTTCTAATTTGTTTTCTCGTCTTATTGGTCTATTGCTAAATTCCTGCTGTCTTATTCCATGTTTCATTTTACATGTTTGGCTTTAAGAAATGCCAGTAAATTCTTCACTGTCTCGGAAAACTTGTTTCATCACAAATGTACTCTTTTTTGCCATTGGCATGGGAGAGCAATATAATTAAGGATACAAAAGATACATAAGCATATTAACTTGCAGAAGGAGAGATTTGGTTCAAATCCAATTGCTAATCCCAACTACAGGAAATCCAAAGAAATTATGGCATTTACATGCATCCCTGTCTTGACACGAAGGTGGGGTAAAAATCAAGTAAATAAATGAAATAATAAAAACTTGAATGACTTTTAACTTTGTAAAGGATTCATTAGATTTTTTGTGCTGAAACTAGTACTAGCAATGCGAAGGAGATCCTAGTTCTTTCTTCTACCTAGAAACATTTGCTTTTTAGTGCTTGACATCCTATTTATTGTCCAATTTCTTCAATAATTCTAGATTTTGTTCACTTCATACTGATTTCTTACTCTTTTAGGAAGATGATGAGGAAGAAGATTCTTCATCTGGAGTTTCCGATAGTGACATTCTCCTCCCAGATGGCTATGAGCGGTCAGAGACGCGGCCTATCCTATCTATTCGTTAGTATCAAATTGATTCATATTTCAATATACTGTGTGAGAAATAGCATGCAGTTTCCTAAAAGTTGGTTTTTGATATGGAGGAAAACTTTAAAAGTTACTTTATGTTTTTCCTGCATCTGTCATAACAGATGTACATGTCCACAAACATCTTTACTCTAAGAGGACCACAATTACAACTGTTTTTAAGCTCAAGGAAACATGAAACCACTGAGATGCCCCATCTTCCTCATGGCTTCCTTCTGTGGGGTCACAATTGTACAGCAATGCTCTATAGTGAACCTCTGAGTTGTTAAGACTACATCATAACTCATGACAATTACCGTTCTGTTAATGAATGTACAAAACTTAATTGCAGACATGCTCTTATTTGTTTTCCTTCATTGCACATACCTGTATTAATATTGTCTGCTCTCCTGCTAAGAATTTCTGCAACGTACTCATAAGCTTGGAGAAAGTTATGGTAAAATGGATCATGGCTTCAGAGAATGACTCTTCCTTACTTTGAGATAAGAGCTAAGAGTTTCTTTTCTTTTAACCTATAGAAAGACGAGGAGCACCTAATATTTTTGAAATCTCTGAAAGAGTGGAGATGGGTCAGATGGCTTCCCTATTCTTCAACAAAGGTAACTACTTCTGAGTCACAAGACATGGCTCCTGTTGGATATGTTGGTTTCCAATTGACTATGTGATGTTAGTTTTCCTTCAGTTACATTTCCTTAACAGTGTTTAATACTCTTCCTCAGAGCAATGACAGTTTCAAATAATACATCATTTGTATACAGCCTATTGTATTATCAGTTGTAGAAACTAGAATATTACTGAAATGTTTCAAAACAAAAAGTTGGCTTAAATCTAGTTGACCTGCTTCTGTGATAGGAAAGTATATATTTTTGATCTGAAGGTTCTATCTCTATTATCTTCTAATTTTGCCAAGAAAAAGAAAATTTAGAGTTAAAAGGAGTAATATCTAAGACTGCTGACCAAAAGGTCGGCGGTTTGAATCCAGGGAGTGGGGTGGGCTCCCGTCTGTTAGCTCCAGCTTCTCATGCGGGGACATGAGAGAAGCCTCCCCAGGAAAGTAAAACATCCTGGCTTCTCCTGTGCAACATCCTTGAAGATGGCCAATTTTCTCATATCAGAAGCAGCTGGCAGTTTCTCAAGTCACTCCTAACACACACAAATCTAAGTTGTAGATCATGGTCTTTGACTCTGGTTTCACATTAGACATAGGAAATACAGTCAACCCTCCACATTTGTGGGTTTGATTTTTGTAGATTGGATTATTCACAACTTAAAATGTTCTCTTTGGGAATCTCTAGGTTTTTCGGTGTGACTCTATGGTCAGCTTCAGGTCAAAGGTGACCATAGAGTTGTGCAGGAGAACCTAGAGATTTGTTCTTTTGGGTAAAAAAACCCTGGGTTTTTATGTGCTTTTTCCCATTTTCACAGAAGTCCTGTCTCCCTAACCCCAGTAAATGTGGAAGACTAACTATATATCTTTCAGTAGTATTTATAGATGTAATGAAGAGTTTGAAAAATACATGTGATGATGTAGGGGTAGAATTCAAATGTAGATAATGGACTTTTGATGATGCTTGATTTATCTTAAAAGGACAATTTTAGAATTTAAAACTGGTAGTAGCCAGACTGTGGACAGCCAACTGACTGGGTGAATCTGCTGTAGTTAAATATCTTATTTTTAAAAACAGTAAAGATTTTAACTTGCATGCCATTCTTTACCTGTTTGATATTAGATTTTGTACTCTGTTTATGTGATGTGTATCATCTGGTTCAAGGCACTGGATGTCTTACTTCTTAATGTAGTTGTTTAGATGCATTCTGCCATGTTCTTCTCTTCTGCTTCTTTCATTCTCACTTACTTGTGCCTGTCATAATGAAAACTTGGGCACAAGACAGTGAGAATTAAAGGTTACCCCTGTTTGAGTCTGGATAATAGGTCTCTAGAAGAAAATGTCTCCAGAAAACTACAAAAGCACTGAATTTTAACTGAGAACACTCTCTGTAACTTTAAGGTATAGAAAGGTTTTATAACTAATTTAGCATTAGCATTAGTAATTTTCTTTTTTGTGATTGGCTCGCTCTGTTAAATGGGACAACTGTTCTGGAAAAGATCTAGTGGTTAGCTAGCTACTGTAACCCATTTGTAAATGAAAGCCCTATTGGGTGCATCTCAGTGTAGCAGAAGGAAGATGGTGTTGACTTTGGGATCTGTAATAAATTTTGGAAGCAATACTGCCATATTAAATAAACCAATGAGTGACGTCTAATTTATTATACAGATGTATCCTTAATTAATGCCATTTTTGGGAAACAGTATCTGAGACTGTAGAAAAGCTTCAGTTGAAATTAAAAGTGGGTTGTTTTATAGGATGGTGTGATTACATCCAGTTTTCCGAAGAGATAGTCAGTTTTAATATAAAAAGGAAGCAGAGGAAAAGTCTTTTGGAACATCTAATGCTGACAGTTGTATTTTGGTAGAACCTCACTGCTTCCTCAGATGCATTCATTTGTAGGTTGTTTTATGTTTTCCGGGCTATATGGCCGTATTCTAGAGGCATTTTATCCTGACGTTCCGCCTGCATCTATGGCAAGCATCCTCAGAGGTAGTGAGGTCTGTTGGAAGTAGGAAAATCGGTTTACCGTATACCATGCAGCTGTGGACAAGTCTACATAGGGACCACCAAACGCAGCGCCCAAACACGAATCAAGGAACATGAAAGGCACTGCAGACTACTTCAACCAGAGAAGTCAGCCATAGCAGAGCACCTGATGAACCAGCCTGGACACAGCATATTATCTGAGAACACAGAAATGCTGGACCACTCTCACAACCACCATGTCAGACTACACAGAGAAGCCATTGAAATCCACAAGCATGTGGACAATTTCAACAGAAAGGAAGTAAGGATGAAAATGAACAAAATCTGGCTACCGGTATTAAAAAACTCAAAAATTACAACAGCAAAACAACAGAGAGTAAACAATCAGTAAACTTCTCAAAGAAAGATTCCCCCAGGCGCTCCCAAGCCATTAAATGCCAATCAAGGTGGTCAGTTGAAACATTCACACCTAGCTCCAGCAGACAAAAGTCCTTTGTCCCACCCTGGTCTTTCCACAGATATATAAACCCATTTTCTTAGTTCCAACAAACCTCACTACCTCTGAGGATGCTTGCCATAGATGCAGGCGAAACGTCAGGAGAAAATGCTTCTAGAACATGGCCATATAGCCCGGAAAACCTACAACAACCCAGTGATTCCGCCATGAAAGCCTTCGACAATACATTCATTTGTGTTGATAAATAACTTCACCCAGTAGAGGGTGCTCAAATCATACATGTGAATTCTGAACCAAAGCTGTTTCTTAAGAAAAAAACACAAAGCAAAATTGCTAAATACTTTTTTGTGATCTAGATATACACAACTCTACATATATTTTCCACCCTTTCCACTTGCAGAGCATTTTCATAGCCTGTCATAATGAAAACATGAGCACAAGTCAGTGAGAGGGAGAAGACTGAATCATAATTACAAGAGCTACGATGAAAGAAATGTTCCCTCAAAGCCAGGGATGTCCTTGACTGTGATTTCTGCAGCTGAATTTGTAAAATGACACCTTGTCACTTCACAATTTTGTTAGTTAGTTTCAGATACACATTGTCAAACATGGCATTTAATGACAAGAGTATCAGAACATTTTTTGTGAGAAGTAATTCAGTCTTACGAAGTTGTTAAATATTTATTTATTATTTATTAGGAAACTTCTATATCACCTTGCTCTGAGGACCCAAGGCGGTTTACAACAACAGCTAAATATGCATTAAACCATTAAAATAACTCCATATGTTCCCGCTGAACAAAAAGGGAACATATGAAAGGAATAAAACCATATGAAATTCCCAGGAAGATAAAATTTGATTATAAAGTACAATTTCTAAGAGTTATGTAAATAGATCAGAGTTGTCCGATCTATTATTGAATTGTAATACAGATCTGAAAAAACTGGCCTTGAATCTATACTCTTTACTTTTGATGTTTTTTCCCCACCCTTGTCTCTCTGACATTTCTTTTCTTGTCAATCTAAATAATCAGTATAAACAAATTTGTATCATACAATTCAATATAAATTGGAGAAATTAGAATGCTTTTTGTGGGTAAAAATATATTTGCCCTACTTTTAATAGTTCATAGAAAAAACTGTTTTGTTGACTGCACAGATCAACAGACTACTTTAGTAAGCACCCCATTGTGCAGTGCTAAACTAGAGGTATTATTTGCACAGAGTCCTTTTCACCATATTGGATGACAATATCTAAACCAATCTCTAGCTTACCAGAGACCTCCCTATGTGTTTTCTCTTGGTGGAGTACCAGAAATTGTCAGCCATTATAAGTGTGTTCAGTTCTCTTAATTCATCTCTCACTGTAGAAAATATCAGCCCTTGTGCATTTTAACTGTGTCAAAATTTCTGTTTATTCAGTAAAGTGAAATCGCACCTTTCTTTTCTGCACATTGTGGCTTTATTTGAGCTTGAAACAAGGGTGTGAATCCTCAGTGTGCTAATATTCCACTTCAAAATAAAACCTAGATGGTTTGTTATTATGATGGAAAGATTTATGCAGTGTTGTCAAAGAACCAGACTTTTCGGGTTTCATGGGTTGTGGCTCTGCTGAATTGAGATGGGTAGTGGCTCTGTTATTCATCCTTTTTAGAGTTATTGGCTTGTTAAAAGCAAAATCCTTGTTTTCTTTCCTCACTCCCTTGACTATCTTAACACTTTAACATTCTCTGGGTCTCTAGTTTTAGAAGTTAAGCTGTGGATAAATCTTTTACCTCTGACTTGACTGTTTTCTGTAGGGAATAGATTTGCAGCCATAACACTTTAGGCAGACAAGCTGGCGGGGGCATCAGGGAGTGCCCTGCATAACTCCAGTGAAGGGAAGCAGGCTGGAAGTAGAGCTGGGTGCTGTTCTGTATGAAGGATCCAGGAGTCATTTATTGTAGTAATGGATTCAAGGCACATGCATCACGTACCATCCTTGTAGGAAGTCATTGATCTTCCTGTTTTGTGTCCAGTAATGAAAGTATTGATTGATGAAGGTTGGTGGCAGTTTATAAAACAGAGCTGAGGCTAATGTCCCTCTGTAGGTAGGGAAGGCGGGCATTGGTGCGGGTTGGAATCTCACCTGAAATTCTTTGTTTATTTTAAAGTTCAACCTTAGACTCCTGTTAGTCCTGAGCAAGTAGCAAAACGTTCTGGAGATGTTGAAAGGAGTGATAGCAAAACTGGCTGGAAAGCTAAGGTTTCAAGTTAGAAAGGCTTAAAATAGCATGCTCTTCTTGGACTTTATGTCTTTAATAGGTACCTTGAGCGGCTATGATTAAGGCATTGTCACTCTGTTTGGATCCTAGGAAATGAAAGGGGTTCATGTGAATAACAGCATATCCAACCTCATTATTTTCTGTCTAAGGACCTGGCTTATTGCCAAGTTGACTGTAAATGTTTTTTTTTTTTTGGAAGCTCCTGCGCAATGACCTAACTGAGTGGATCCTATGCTCTAATGACCTGATATTCACAATAAATAATAGTGATTTTTCTACAGTTCTCTCCAATACCTCATCCTTTATTTTATCCATTTAATTTGGGCATTGATTAATGCCATTTTTGGGAAACAGTATCTGAGACTGTAGAAAAACATTTGTGAAGAGTGGGGTTTTTTTGCAAGTTCTAGTGAATAATTGCATTTTTTATAGTTGTTTTCTTTGCCCTGGTCACAGACATATTGAGAACTGGTATGTATAGTTTTCTTTGCTTCTTATTTTATACTTAGAATATTAACATATATCTTACAAGATCTTTGACACTGTAATGTAGGAAGATTAGTGGCCATGAGATGCACTGTATGAGTAGCCTGTATATTTCACTACAACCAAACATGCTTCAAACATCAAAAATTAATTCAGAATCTACAAATGGCAAGCAAATAAACAATTAAATAACAAAGTTATGTTTTTCCACAAATTGTAAAATCTATATGACTGTACAGACCAGTTCTCAATATGTTATGAAACACAATTATGGGGGATATAGTTCTGCTCTGCTTGCTAAGGTTAAAATGTTTTGCAAAATGATATGTTACCATAGTAGTTGAAGTCTTTTGAGAAGTAGAGTTGCTAGTGTCTAGTTGGAAGAGGAATGTTGAAATGCTAGCTTGGTTATAAGGTTGGTAATATTTCTCTGGAGCTCCATTATATTTTACTTTCATAGCACATTCAAATTTTCTCCTACTTTATATGAAACAGTTTATGTTTATTTCTATCTCTTGCTTTCCATTTGAAATGAAATCTTTTTGGTTCTATTTCTTTAGAGTCAGTCATCTCTTTATCTCTATTGATTTCTGCTCATGAGAGCAGAGTTTGTTTGCCTTCCAGTAATCTATTTTGTCAGTAAAATTGTGGATTCTGTTCCTCTGCCTTTTGCCCCTTCATGTCTTCTAGAGAAAATGCATGGTTTTTCTTATCATGTCTAAGTATGCAAATCTTATGGGAGTGGAATTCCATCCAGTTTTGAAATAGAGCTTCTGCTAAGTGATTTCACTTCCAGTAGATTGTGGGTTTGAAAACCTGGTGTGCTAAGCGGCCAGAAGGCTGAAAGAAGCACAGATGGATGTGAAGGCAAGAACAGAAGTCTATAATTCTCAATGGCCAGAGAGGATATCAGCAGAGCTAGTGCTCAAAGTAGTGATGTACCCAACTGCTAACACATGGATTATTTATACAGAACAATTTAAAATTGCGATGTTGACTTCCCATTGGTCTCACAGATAGCTGGCTAGGATCTGCAGGTTCATTGGAGGAGGCATGAATTTGCTTCTGCCTCTGAACCAACCAGAGGCGTGGTGGGAAATTTAATAAATTGTCATTCCTTAGTTTGATGTTTTGTGTCTGTGAGTTTCTGTGAGTCCTTCCTAGAAATTGGGTGCATCTGGCTGGAATGCAGTTTGATGAATGGTTAATGGTCCTGATGGTGCAATGCCAGCTAGAGAGAGGAGGTGCTGTCCAATGGACAAAAACCACAGTTAAATACAATGGAGAATTCCCAAAGGGGGCCAGATAGATGCTATAGATGAAGCAGGTTCCTAGGAAGAGGATAAAAGAGGGCATTGGGCATCCTCTGACCTCTGGTTTGCTTCATTGTTAGGTGATTGTAATGATTTGAAGCTTTGTTCTATGGAGTCCAAGCTGTGGTGAAGCACATTCCAGTGAGATTCATGAAAGGTTACTTTGCAGGCAAAGAGAAAAAATCCAATGTGCTGACAGTATCATCCACAGATAATAATTAATATATTGTATATAATTCCTATTGCTCGGTGGAGGTTGATATCTCAATAACGCTACTAAAGGATCTATATACTTAATACTGATGCAGATCATAGCAGTCTACAGAACATAAACTAGGTCATTTCGTAGCTTATTCTTGTTCATTGCTGTGCCATATGTATAGTAATTGTCAATGCATAATCAGTCCTTCACATTGACTTCAGTTAGAGGATCCCATGGAAATGGGATGGAAATGGAAATGGAAATGAAAAATCACCAATTAAAAATGCTCTGGAAATCTCTAGGTCATGCAGCACAACTTCATGATCAACTTCTGCCAGAGGTTGCACTAGAGTACTCACTGTCTAGCTATAGAGCATCCTGATTTCTATATCTCATAAATTAAGACAGATCAGATGCACATTTATAGTGCAGACTGAGTCTAATTACCATGGTTTTCGTTTACAGTTCTAGACTTGAGAAGACTTTCATTGATCACAATAACGGAGCTATATAGGATAACATGTAAGACTTTAGTTTTCTTCATAAGTTACTATAATTTTATCATATGTAGATAAACCTCTTCTGTGCAAGCTTTTTGGCCTTTTTGTTAAACTTCCAATTCTACCAGTTTTAATAAAGTAGGCTGTCAATTTTAGGACAAAGTGCAAAAGGTTTCAGGAATATACTGATCTAGCCCAATCCATCTAATGTTTCCTTTCTTTGCAGTGGGAGTCAATTTGTTTTATTTCTGTATAATCATCTACCTCTATGGTGATCTGGCAATATATGCAGCTGCTGTTCCAGTTTCACTCATGCAGGTGACCTGGTAAGTGTACTTTTGATGACAACATTTTGTGAAATGTCTTGCTGGAATGTTGTATAATAACATCATTATTTCATATTCATAACTTTCACTGTAGCCTGGTTCCTGGCCTGTATGTAAATAGTTTCCACTGTATTTTTCAAATGTATTTCCCAAAGCTATAGCGTTCTGATGTAATTTAGCTTTGCTTAGTACAGTGTTAAGTCTAAAGGCTGATTTCAGCTTTACCTCTTTATAGCACAGCAATATTTACCCTGTTAATCATCTAGAGTACTTGATTAAGAGATATCCTTGATTAGCTAGTGCAAAAAGTGCTGATGCCACCTTAGAGGAGACACCACTGCTTTTCTATACTGATAAACTTGCCTGTTCTAAGAGAGTAGCTTAATGCAACATATATGTGCATCATCAAAAAAAACCCCCAAAAAACAAAGTAGGCTTTTGTTCAGAAGTATTGTGTCTTTTAAAACAAATCAGATTTAACCAATTGAAGCTATTTGATTAAATGACCAATATTGCCCCCATAAATTCATGTTAGATGAATTATTATTTTCCTTCTAATGTTGCTGTCGAATGTGTCTTTTAAATGATTCCAGAAAAGTACATGTTTAGATTATATTCTCATTTTAAAAAAACAACACTACTATTTTGCAATACCCAAAACCATTTCTTGGAAATATGATAGGACTTGTAAAAAATTAGTTTTGCACTTTCTCACAAAGCCTTTTTTCTGAATCCAGAGTGAAAATTTAGAGGTTTGAATGAAAAATTTTCTCATATTGTCAGAAGTATATTAATTGTAGTTTTTCTCCGTGTGTTCAGCAGCAGGAACCTCAATCATTCATGCAGTGTTGAAGATAGTACAAAGTACAATGATACAGACAAGTGCTGGGGACGAATTAGAAGGATTGATGCTTACAGAATTTATCTGGTGAGTATCTTCAGCCAAGACAATTAAATTGATATTAATGCCCCCTTCTTTTAAAAAGACTACAATGAATAAAAAACTTTAACTTGGTGGTCCATTCAGCTAAAAGTGGATGATTGGCTGACATCAGTGATGATATAACAGAATGCAAACTGCTCAGACTGGGTTCACACTGCAGTTGTAGGTATCATGTGATCAGCTTACAGTTGCTTCTGCTGTACATTTTGCGTCTGTTTTTATTGTTTGTATGTTGTAATAAGCAGTTCTTCCAAGCCAAAACATGAATGTATCTTCTTATATTGCAAAAATATGTGCATTGAAAAGGGTGGTTGGATGCCTTGTACAAGAATACATTAACATTTAAGTAGAGCTACCTTTTTTTCTGTAGTCAGCTTCCTAGCAAATGTCCTTTTATCAAGACAACATTGCGTCTATTGGTCACATACTCTCTAATGCAGTGGTTCCCAACCTTTTTTTTGATCAGAGACCACTTTGACCAGGGACCACTCTCCAACATTAGTACCAAGAGGGTTACTAATCAGTTTTTTGTCAACTTCAGATTTGGTTTCGTTATCTGCGGTGTTGATTCAGAAAACTGCATTGGATATGCCACATCAGCTTTACTTTTGCTGACACAGAACATACATCATTCAGTAGTTGCCATCTCTTCGCTCATAGAAAACCATATTTAATAATCCAAAGCCATGGACCTTATTTTAGGTCTCGTGGTCCACCAGTGGGCTGTGGCCCACAGGTTGGGAACCACTGCTCTAATGCATATAGATGGAAGGCTATTATGTGGGGATTTCTCTCTTGACTCTTTTACTTATATGTGTATGTTAATTTTCAGAATTCTTAAGAATTTTCTCTGTTATGTTTCTGTCTGGAATTTGCTACTTGATAACATTTGCTACTTGGTAGCACCCGAATATAGCTGACATTGATTCCAAGTAAGAAACAGGGGAAATAAATAATACTCAACTTTGTGAATTGTTAAATAAATATTGCTGGTGAAGGCTGAGATAAACACAGGCAGTGGTGCACTGGTTAGGGTGTTCAGCTTGCCCAGTTGCAAGTGGGGCCCCTTAGACATTAGACAGTATGTTTAAAATGGTAATGTCCTTTTAGTTGCTTGAAAATATAATTGAGGTTCTATATTATTACTGTATGAAACTCTAATTTGCATTGTATTACTATTTTAATAATTTTAATTGTACCTTTTTCACTTACGTATTTAAATTTTTTAATTTATTTCTTTAAAAATTAAATTGTCATCCTCCCACCCAACAGTTTGCATTCCCACCCAATGATCTGATTCATTCCGTATGGTGTACAGTGTGAGAGCCAAAAATGGCCATACAATGGCACACTGCTCAAGTTGTTTAAGTGATTAAGTGACTAAGTGAAGTGACTTATAGTTGTGGGTTGACCCCCTTTTCAATACAAATATTGACAACCGATATTTTTATACACAATCCACCACTCAGCCATGGTAGGTGATAAGGAGAAAATTACCTGGTGCATTGCACTTTTTTTTAACTGAGGGCATATTTGTGTGTGTTTGTGTTAGATCATTTTCCTGAGCAGCATATTACTTTTCCCCTTTCTAGCAATAATAATAATAATGCTGAAGCAGGAGCTGGGTCTCAGGAATATTAGCAAATGTCACAACCTGGTTAATTATTTAAAAGGAATATTATTGCTTTATTAAACTGCATCTAGGTCTGCTTCTTCAAAATTTCCTACATGATTGAAGATTTTTTAACAGAATTTCCATAACTCTGAGCCACCAGAAGAAACATGATAGAAAAGACATCCAGGCATTAATTACTGCCTGCACCTTCTAGATATTGTACCAATAATTCATAAAAAAAAATTATAAGCGGGGGGAGGGGGGAGGACTGAAATAGGAGTAGAATTTTTGCTCTGTTCTGTGGTGCTATTTGCTTTGTCTTTGTTTTGATGGGTATTTCATAGTTATTCTGTTTTCAGTTTGTGTAAGGCAGTTTCACCATTATTACAGAGTCACGAGCAACTCTTATCTTCTAAATTGCTTCTGTTGCATTGTTAAATGAACATGGAACAGTTTTGAGAAAAAATGATAAGTTGCACAGATCAATAACAACACCTTACCCTTCATTGTTTTCCATTACTTTGCTGCATAGCTTTGAGTTCTGAGATGTGCCAACGTCTACTCAACCACTTTGATGTGTGATCAAATTGGGGGCATGATATGGGCTTGCACTTTTCCTGCCCACTTCCTTTTTCACAGCATATTGAAGTGAACCATAGAATCAAAGCAGTCCTGTGTCTCTTTGAAAGTTAGATTCCTTTTACCCCAAATACAACACTATCCACTTCATCACACTAGAGGAAAAATCCACTTAAAATCTGATTTCTGCTTCCTGCAGAATTTTGGGTTTGCAGTTTAGTGAGTGTGTTAAAGGCTCTTCCCTAAACTACAAACCCCAGAATTCTGCAGGAGGCAGAAACCAAATTTTAAGTGGATTTTTTCTCTAGTGTGATGAAGGTATAAAGGAATGAAAATATCCCCCCTTTTACTGAGTGTTATACCAGTAAATTTTTCTCCCTCCCCACTCTTATTTGTTTTGTGTGTCATACCGAACATTTAGATTTTAAAAAGAACTTGCTACTTAATGTTCTAAGCCATTCAAGTAATCTTTTTGTCTAAAGCATGAGATATAAAAGCATGAGATATTAATAAACTTTTATCCAGAATCTATTGTAAGGAAAAATAGATACCTCAAAGGGCAGGGAAGATGAGACTTTATTAGTGAAATGATTTGATAAAGAAGATTGAAGTGAGAAGAGGTGCAATGAATTGGATGAGTAAAGGGGATTAATTCAACATGGGAGGTGGGATCCAGAGGATCTATTGGTGGATCACTGTCCAGAAGTAGAAACAGGAGAGAGCAGTTCTCTGCAGCATAACCCCCTCCCTCAGGTGTGCTTTCACTCTTGCTGTAGAGGGCTAGAAAAACCCCTGCAGCAGGATTTTGAGCAGTATTGGAGGGCAGCAGGAATAGAGGGGAAAGTCTCACTGTGCTAGTGCACATGTTATGGTGACATTAGGTTTAAGTTAGCTGAGTTATTCATTGTTGGTTTGTGGTAGCAGCAGCACTTTTTATTAGAAGAAAATAACATTGACACTCGCAAAGATGCTGTCTGCAATCACAGAATTCCTTTTCAATGGTGTGAATTGAGTGGATTTTTTTTTGTTTCTAAAATATTGGCCAGGTTTCTAGGAAATTGTGGCTGCAGTTGTTTGGAAATTATAAGGTGCCTTCACACTTTCCCTTCTTTCCTGTCTCCCCCCTTTCTTTCTTGATGAATTTGGTAGCCTCAGATTCAAGCACATTGTTTGACCAGAAATGAAGAGGATATACTGAAGGACTTCAAGTTTAAAGCAGATAGAGTTGTTCCAAAAAAGAACCATTCTGACTCGTTATTATGTATTCTACCCTATTGGGTTTTTCTTCTGAACCTGTTGGTCAGGCCTGTAGCGAGGGGGTGGTTTTAGGGGTTCAACCCCGCCCCCGAAATGTTTCAGTTTTTTTTAAAAAAAAACTGGTTTACTCATGAATTTTAACTGGTTAACCAAATCCCCATGCTAAGTCTATGAGATGCAAAAAATTAAGAGTCCCTCCAAAACTGTAAGCACTATCTCAAGCAAATACTGACAATTTATTCACACTGTCATTACTTGCAGCAATAGCCGATGTAGTGAAGCAACCAAGTTGGGTGGATGTGTGTTGAATGCTCTCATTAAGGAGGCCAGACTTGGTGGAGGTGGTTGACAGGGGTGGAGCTGCAGGCTATTGAAGGCTGCTCTGCCCCCTGCTGTGCTCTTGGCTTCAGCGTGAGCTAGGAGGCAGGTTTCAACCCCCCCTCCCGAAATTTTCAACCCTCCCCGAAGTTTTCAACCCCCCCAAAATTGTCAACCCTCCCCGAAATTTTTTTCTGGCTACGGCCCTGCTGTTGGTGCACTAGTATAGCAGTAGCCTCTCCAAGAGGCTTACTTTATCTTATAAAATAAATTTTAAAAAAACACTGGGATGCCTCAGTGAGACGAAAAAGAACTGGACTTTTATCCTGAACTAAAGAGAATTATCCATGGGTGTGAGACCTGTATTTTTGCCTACCTGTCTACTCTCCTTCAGATTTTTCCAAGGCACTAAACAGCTGCCACTACCCATTTTGAGCAAGGCTTTCATAGTGCATATGCATTTCTCATCAGTTGGGCTTTTATATCCAGGAAAACCAAAACACATAAGATGTTTGTCTCTCTGGAGATAGTGGCAATTCTGCTTTAAAGCTGACAGTAACCACAACTGCTGAATGAAATGGACACTTTTTCTCTTACAAGAGCCCTAGTCTCTCATTCCCAAGGTCTTTATTTTTCTTCACTCCTATTCCTTCCCCTTCCATTGTAGCAATACATTTCAAACATTGCAGCTTTTGAGCTGGAAAAGGAAAGAATGACTGACATAAAATCCTGTTTCATGGTTTAATGTGCCAAAAGTCCTAGAAATGGTCTCTGTTTTTATACTTCAATAATCGAAGCAGAATACCATGTACGTAATGAGAATATTTAGACAGATTAAGTTGTTCTCTGATGAGTTGCCTGCCTGCATTTTTAATGTTGCTTCTTAGACTCCAGCACACCTAAGTGTGTCTGTACTGTCTGTGCACAATGTACACGGCCTACATTAACCTTCGTCCTGCACAAATTTCAGTGTTATCTCTCTTGTAAATTACCTCTGGAAGTACAGCCTTGCAAAAATAAACAGTGAATAGAAAATGTTGTTGAGATGCTTGAATTCATCACATTCCCCCAGCCAAGGCATATAATTTTAGGCTCTATTCTGCTTCCCTTATTTTGAAAGAGAGAAATGGATTGTGAATTTGAATTGTTCAGTTAAGACATATTATGGTATGATCTTTGAAATTCAGTTGGGGGATCAATTGGTGCAAATTGTCAT